TGAATATAATCCCAATCTACTCAGTCTCTCCTCATAAGCCAACCCCCTCAACTCCGGAATCAACCTAGTGAACCTCCTTTGCACCCCCTCCAGTGCCAGTACATCCTTTCTCAAGTAAGGAGACCAAAACTGCACACAGTACTCTAGGTGTGGCCTCACCAGCACCTTGTACAGCTGCAACATAACCTCTCTGCTTTTTATTTCAATCCCTTTAGCAATGAAGGACAAAATTCCATTTGCCTTCCTAATTACTTGTTGTACCTGCAGACCTACCTTCTGTGATTCATGCACAAGGACACCCAGGTCCCTCTGCATAGCAGCATGCTGCAACTTTTTACCATTCAAGTAATAATCCTTTTTACTATTACTCCTACCAAAATGTATGACTTCACATTTATTTACATTGTATTCCATCTGCCAGACCTTGCCCACTCACTCAATATATCTATGTTCCTCTGCAAAGTTTCACAGTCCTCTGCACACTTTGCTTTGCCACTCATCTTAGTGTCATTTGCAAACTTTACTCATCTTAGTGTCATCTGCAAACTTTATGCGCTGATGAAATGAGCTCATCAGTGGCAAATGGAATTCAATTCAATGAAAATGAGTTTAGACAGGACTAGCAAGGCAGGGATTATATGATGAACAGGAGGACCCTTGCAAGCACTGAAGATCCATGGGACCTTGGTGTGCATGTACACTGGTCTCTTAAGGCATGAAAACATGTGGGCATATGGGATACTTGCCTTTATTAGCTGAGACAGAGCTCAAGAACTGGGAAGTTATACTAGAACTGTATAAAAAGTTGGTTAGGCCACAGACAAAGTATTGTGTGCAGTTCTGGAATTCACACTTTAAGAGGAATGCGATAGCACCGGAAAGGGTACAGAGGAGATTTATCAGAACTTTTCCTGGGCTGGAGAGATTCAGTTATGAACAGTGATTGGACAGACTGGAGTTGTCTTCCTCGGAGCAGAGGAGGATGAGAGGGGACATGATTGAGATATACAAAATTATGATGGGCATAGATAAGGCAGACAGAAAGGAACTCTTCCCCATTATGTAGTGATCAATCACCAGAAGGCACAGACAATTCAGTCGACGTGACACATCTGGACATTCAAAATGTTTTTGATAAACTGCCAAGTAAGATGTTTGCCAGCAAAGTTAAAGTTAATGGGATAAAAAGGATAGCAACATGGGTACAAAGTTGTCTGGGTAACTGAAAACAGAAAAGTGGAGAATGATTGCTTTTCAGACTGGAGGATGCCATATGGGATCTGGACAGAATAATACAGAGAAACTGTTTCCATTGGCAGTATATTCAAGAACCAAAAGGGGGCAATTTTCAAGCGATTGACGAAAGGACCAAGGATGACACAAGGAAAAATATTTTCACTCACTGAGTGGTTAGGCTCTGGGCTGTGCTGCCTGAGAATGTATGAAGTAGAAGCAGATTCAATTGTGGCATCCGAGAGGGAATTGAAAGATTACTGGTCGCAGCACATATCCACAATGCAGCAACTTGCCAAGGTTTCTTCAACAATGCCTGCCAAACACATTACCTTTACTATGTAGAAGAACAAGGGCTAAAAGTGCATGGGTACACCAGCACCTGCAAGGTTCCCTCCAAGTCATGCTACATCCTGACCAGAAAAAAAATCATTATTTCATCTTTATCATTAAATCAAAGTTCCAGAACTCCATTCTTCCCTAACAGAATTGATCTGCACCTATACTATACTGACTGCAGCAGTTCAACAAGCTCACAACCACATTCTGAAGGTGTGACCAAAAGGATGTCTTGATTAAGGCATTTAAAGTGGGCTAAATATCAGTATTGACAACAATGTACACAACCATGAACAAGCAATTTAAGGAAAGCATTCTGCCCTTTCATTTCGCTGGCTGATAAACCAGAGGCTCTTGGAATCTTTCTAAAAATATTAGTTTTCCATTCCAGTACTACAACTGTCCCACTTCTGTCAACTTATTAGCTAGCACCTCTCTTCTACTCTCTACCTCTCCCTCACCAGTGGGGTTCCTTATCTCAAGTCCTCATAAGGGCAGAAGACAGTAAGCCCTTCAGCTTTGTATCCTCTATTATTCAAAGACTCTAAAAATGGCAGGAGACTTGGGTTAATATTGCATATTTTTCTTTTCTCAAAATAAAAGCAAAATAAATCCAAAAATGCATTAACTAAAATTAGGAATTCATTGGCTACAGAAATGGCTAGCTTTACATTCTTATTGTGTTGCAACCCAACAAAAACAATTTGCATGTACATATGTAAGGAACTTCAGGCTGCATTATCAGATAGAATTTGACACAACCATATTGAGGGGTTAGGACAGGTGACCAAAACCTTACCAAGGTTGAAAGGAAGGAAAAATAAAGTCCATATGACTAATAATAATTTTTAAATGATTCAAGAGTCAGAAAAGGTCAGATTAGAATCTATTTAAAGGTTTTGTTGATGTGTTGAAAAATGTACAAGAAAATGATTTTTAGAAAAAGTCTTTACTTATGGTATGTAAATGGCATTATTTACCACCTTAACCCCAAACTTTTTAAACAGTTTCTCTGGGCTTCAGCACTAGTGCTATTTAATTTACATGATATTTTTCTGCAGTATAATTTGGTATCATTCAGTCAACCAATCAATCCAGCAAAGTGGCAAGATTATTTTCTGATGATACAGCATGATGTTTTTAGCTCAATAAGTATACATGACGCTTTATAACATGCAGAAGATAAATAGGTAAAGAAGTGGCTAAATAGGCTGGTAATACATTAAAACTTCCTATTCTGGGATGCAAAGTAAAAATACAAACAATGAAAAAGGGAACAGATCCATCACCACCGGTAATCCCACATCAGAACTGAAAGCTGAAAAACAACCAAGAAATTTACTATGGTTATAAAAATCTAACTACAGAGTATATACAATTATGAGACAGTTGACTGGCAGCTTTGACTTATTGTAAATATTATGCACGAATGTCACATCTGTATTGGGTCAAAACCCTTCAATACAATTGTTCATAGATCAATTTGCCCTACATTCACACTAACAGCTACAACTTTTAAACCCGTTCAATACAATCATTATGGATAATTTTCTACCTGTATGTTTTACCACGTTTGCAGATTGCTTAGAGTATTGATTTCATAAAACTACAGAAATGTATCACAGAAAGCTAAACAAACCACCTCTACAGGAATTTTGGCGAAGACACTAAATGCGGCCTTTAAATAATACCGTTTCATTTTGAATGCATTGCAGTGCAGTCATTTTTACGCATCTGAACAGATAGATATTCACGGCATGTGAATATACAAAGGCAAGTTCAGCACTTAACAACACCGAAGGCTTCTCATCCCACAACAACTCGAACTGTACTGAAGCTCGGTGAAGATGCAAATAAATGACTTACTTTTTTGTTCCAAATCCAAGTTGTCAAACATCATTACTAGTGGTTAGAGATCTCCACGCCCTTGATATTTATAGCACAATCTGCTTATGTTTCCTATTGTTTATATCCAAAATGTAATTTTATCCCAGGATTTGAAGGACTCACCTCGTTCTGTTCCCCACTGCACACCACATTCGTGGCTAATAAATGGATCTGGCATTGGAAATGCAGAAATGTCACTACTGATAAACTTCAAGAGGCAATCTGGTAGAAACAAATACAGGGGAAGTGAGGGGAGCAGATTCCTAAACAGCCGGGTACTATTCGGCCGATTAGTCCTAGGACCTCATTTGACAGATGGGAAAGGAAGAGGAAGGGGGTCGGAGATAGACATACAGGTGGAAATAGAGAAAGGGAGGATAGCCTGAAAGAAACCGAGAAAGGAGGAAAATAGATGCAAGAACAGAGACGGAAGAAGAGGTAGAAATGGGAAAGGAGACGGAGAGGGGAAGGAAACAGCAGAGAAAGTCGTGGCGGAGGCAAAGAAAGATGAGATTCCCTGTGACGCTAGTCTCTTGCTGATGCATTAGGCCAGTTGTGTAAAGTACACAAACATTAATGCGTGTCTGTTCATCTACAGCTACACTGCTCTGATAAGGTACGTTCATTCTGATTAAGGCAGGCAGTAACTAGAAAGTGTACCGAATAAGACATTTCCCCAAACAACCTTGTCAGCCCGTTTCTGACATAACCAAGCTGCGGCTCGACCTCAACTTCGCCTCTAGATTTAACATGTTTTGTAGGTGAATTTTAAACTTACTTACTAACAAGAACAAAGAAATGTTTAAGGTGGTGGAGCCGTTCTTGAAAACAAACTCACATGGACTGCGGACCTGTCAGGGTAATAATCTGGTCGAACAGTTCTATATGAATGAAATATATAAGCTACTTGTTTCGCCTTTTCCCACACCAACTGACAGAGTGCTCCACTGCTACATTTACACACCGAGGGGAGATCAGCTCAGAAAGAAAACCTTGGAAAATAATACCTTTCAACAATGTAGTTATTTAGAATTAAATGCAAAATGGTGGGTAATTTATTTTAAAGATCGGGCGAATGTTTCTATCAGTGTTGGTGGTCAAGTTGTCAGAGATCCGCAGAGATTAAAGATGTTTCAGTAAACAAATTCTGCAACAATCACCGTGTCCATCCGTGCACTAGTCAGCGTGTGCTGATAGCATTTTCGGAAATGTTGGTAAAGGGACTAGAGAATGTCCTCTGTACGGATCGCCCGGCAATCTCAGATATTCAACATAGTCGGCGCTAGAGACTGATTAAAAGCCGCCACCATGAACCACTGACAGCCATTTCGCAGCAGCTCCTCACACACACTTTACAATGCTTCTCCATCGAAGCGAACTGCATCCCGTGAAATGAGACGTTAGTGAAAGACCAGCGGTTTCCCAGAAATCGTGACCGTGTGATTCTCCCCCCTCCCCTCTCCTGTCCCTCCCTCTTTCCCACCTTCCTTTCCTTGCACACTTCCAGACGGAGTTGAGCGCAGGATTCTTGACTGCCTTACCTTTGCGATACTAGCAAGAGTTTGATGCTTCTGCCATTGACTTTCTCCGAAAGAAGTTTTCCATCCCTGAGTCTGCAGCTCTCCAGCCTCTTCGTTTATATATATATATATATTCCGGCACAGTTCTGTCACTATTTCCCCTTTGGCCAGCGAGAAAGCGGTTTAAAGCACCTGGAGCCAGTCGGGATGGCCGAGTTGGGCTGCGCTGCTTCCTATGGCAGTTGTCGTCTCTCTCCCGCTCTGATTCTCACAGAGATCGCACATGCTGCTGTCACCGCCACGCCGCTGCTACTGAAAGGAGACCGCACAAACTCTGCAAACTACGCCCGCCGCCCCGCACAGCGCGCGCGCGCGCCGGCCAATCGCCAATGGCTCGTGCGTCAACCGCCAACTGCCGAACGGCCCGCGCGCAGCCCCACCCGCCAATCATTATCGGAGCCTACCGCTTCCCGCTCTTTCCTGGTCAGTCCGAGGCGACGGCGCGCGGGCTTTGTATCATCGCAATCCTGAAGTGATTAATCAAACTCTCGATTAACTTAAACCTCTATGTAGGGGTAACCAACTCCCGAACCCCTAGCCCAGCTGTTCCTATACAACCGCAGCACACTAACGTCAATGTGAAGAATTTCCTATATATGTTCTCTACATGCCATCATTCTGCTTCCCATCATCAGCGAAGATGCACTGCCATAAATCACCGACGCTCCTCCAACAGTGCTTTTAAAACACACCCAGAAAGACAAGATCAGTGGGTTCATGGGAATACCCACTTTTAAGCTTCCCCCAACCCACGCACCATCCTGGTTCGGATTGTACTCCTTCAAATCGCTAAGGTAAAATAAATCCTGAAACTCCCTCCCCCGCAGTTGTGTGTCCCTATGTGCCAAGGCTGCAGTGGTTCAAGAAGATAGCTCACCAGCACCTTGCCCAGGGCATTTAGAGCTGGGCAATAATCCTGGCCTACTCAATGATACCCTTACCTGTCAACAAATGGAAAAAATAAGCTTCAGATAATAGGAACACAGCTTTTATTTTACCTCTCCCTTCACTGTAACTCTATTCTTTACCTTTTTCTTCACAGATCCCAAACATTGCAATGTAGCTGGGCAATGTCAGAAGAGCAAAAGGTCAAAAGGAAAGAGGAGATTGAATGTTGAAGAAACATCACAACTCACTCAGCCCCAGCTCAGATAGTGACTTACTCAATACTTTAGAGGACAGCTTAGAGGTGGCCTCTGGACATGATGACATGCTGAATGCAAGTGACTGCAGCAAGAACAAGAGAGAAGGGTAGCCCAAGTGCTAGACAGCCAAAGGATGAAATTACACGTGAGTTCTGTGCAGGGATGCCTTGTTTGGAACTAGCTGAGCTGATCCACGAAACAATGTTGATGCAAGTGCATACTGAAGTGCCTGGTTCATTGCCACACCTATCTGAAAGTCTTCATTTAATGTAACAGGACAAGAAGGGATACAGCACCATTCTGGAACAGGGATTGGAGCCAATCCTTACCACCTCTATCTGTGATGTAGCATCTGATGGCTCACCTTCCAAACTAATACAAAGCAGGAAACAATCAACAAATGTCTACTGCAGTGGAGACTCAAATTTCTGTTGTGCAAGCTCAAACTGCTTCAAATATATGTGCAAAGCAACTTTCAGAATGTTACAGCAGTCTGTCCTCCAGCACATTACTAACATTGTTTTGGTGCTGTCTGTGAAAGTGCTACCTTGGAGCACAAATCTGTCCTTTTCCATGCTGACAACATTTGTCCTTCCATGTGTGCCATTTTGCCAGTGTCCTTACTGTTCCTGTCAACCAGCCAGCCCAGATAGCTATGACTCATTCTGGGATGATACAATTTGAGGCCAGGCCATCTAGGGTCAGAGCTAGTCATGTTTATCTTGCAAAAATATTTTCATTCTCTCTCACTGAAAGTCAGCAACCTTCCATCAATCATGCTTCAGCCACCTAATAGCACAAGTGTATTTGTATTTATTTTATGAACTATTATATGTCTTAATTTATCAAACAGAACATTTACTTAATGACTACATACATAATTATGTATGTAGTGTTGTGAGGGAAGATAAATTGTGGAACTGTTGGTGAATGAGGGTTTGGGATTGTGTTCACTGGTACTTTAGCCAGATGTGTTGATCAGGGACAGACTGGCCAGAAAATATATCTTTGGTTTCTTTTTCTCTTCCGCTTTCATTCTTCTTCCTTTTACTCTTTCCTGTTTGTCTTTCTGTATCCTCTTCCCTGACCGTCTGAGCTAACTGCTGTATGCTTGTTGCCAACAGCTATGTATCCATGATGGCAAGGTTTTGTAGCTTGCAGCAGATCTCAACACACCTTGATTCATGTTCTAATGAATATGGCAGGGATCTTCCATAGTAGTCTAAAATATGGAAGTGTTGATTTAGTACCTCCATACTCTACATGATCACATTTCAATGTTAATATGACTTTTGTTACTTCTATACTGCCTACATATATGTGGATTGTACACTGAATTCACAAGTCATTCATCAGTGGAGAGCCCTTGTTACCCATTAGACATCTTCTGACTTCATCTGGTGGCTCAAATGCAAAAGCCATAGCAGATTTCAAGAATGCAGCCATTGTCACTGATCCTAGAATTACAAATATTGATCTGAGTGATGCAGCGAATATTCCCGCACCCCAGCTGAGGATTTTGGGAGTGGAACTGCATTTAATGCAGTATTTCAGAATAACTCATGGTGTCTAGAAAGCATTCTGTGCAGTCAGTGACATCCTGCACCAAGAAGAGCTGTTCTTGCACCACTGCTGCTCTAGCAAGGGAGAATCAAATGCATTCATCTCTCTTTGCATGCAAAGCATCAATATTCTCAGGAAATAACAAACCAAGTGATGCTACAAATATCACCTGATGCATCCTGGAGAGGAGCCAGATGTTCAAGGTCACAGTTACCTTCACAGACTTTGGAAAATTCACCTGCACCCTCAACTATGGCTGCAAAAATGATCAGTTTTCAATGAGTACTTCCTTTGTGAACCGAAGATATTTGATGCAATGTCCTTCACTCGGATTGCAATAACAGAATGACTCGTTAAGTCCTGAGAGGGTATTACCAACTGCTGAGAACCCTGTTCCCTTCCTTCTTTTCCCTTTCCAGGAGTTTGTCCTCTTCTGTGCTGCCTATTCCCATTGTCTTGTGATCTAGGTCAAGAAGGTTGCAAAGTACTGTATCACGGGAGACAGTGATCAATGCAGAAGCAAAGTCAGAACTAAGTCCTTCAGTACCTGTCATCCCACTTCCTGTGGACTTCAGAAACTTTAAATAATTTGACAAACTACCACTTATGCAGACTCAGCAACAACCTCTAGAAATCAATTAGCACTAACCTGAAAATGGTTGATGATCCCTATAAATAGCACTGGGGCAGCAGTCCTTCCTACTGCTGAACACATATTCAGCTATGTGAAGTTAAGAGAAGACATTAGCTAGAGTGTTGAGCTTCAAAGTGCCTTTATTGGCTTCAAATCAGCATTAACCTCTAATATCATGACCTGTCTATTCTGCACATGTCAAGTGTTCACTCCCCGCACCAAAGGTGACACCTGGAATGACCTGCGTCAGAAATGTGCACATACACTACAGACAAAGTTCTTGACTGAAAACACTATGCATAACACTGAAAGTACTGATTTTGCAGCCAAAATGAATTTTCTAGTCTTTTTGAGGGAGAACTGTGGGTCATAACATCTTCAGTTCACTAAAAAAATACTCATTTAAATCTTTGCCAGCTGTTGAGGCCACAGGGAAGGGTGAGAATGGATTTACCAGAGGCTGCAGAGGTGACTGTAACCTTAATTTATTGAAGTGGGCTGACCAACCATTGGTTTAACTCAATGTCTCCCAGTGGAATTCATAGATTAGACATAGGTATGGCTTCAATAACATTATTTTAACCACATGCACTAATTTCAGTTGACAACACCTGACACATAATGCAGATAAAAGTACTTCCTCTATACATTTACTTAACAGATGTCTAATGATGTTCATTAATTAGCTAAAGAAGTAAATCGCTCCCAACAAGAAAAAAGAATCCACAATTTACAATCGATCATGCCATTTACAAATATGCAAATATATTGAGTTCACATTCCTAAAAAGTGTTGATTACTCACTTTATTTACTGATCAGAAAAATGATTAACCACATTTGGATTCACAATCAGCCACATAGTGAGTAACGTATAACACAACACTATTTTAACATCTTAGCAGGTTGGTATTTCCCACAGTGCTGTACTGAATTGTTAGCCTAGATTGTGTGCTCAGCGTCCAGTATGTGGCTTTGTGAATCAGCAGGCTGATGACTGAAACCTGAGAATGCTATCAAAGCTGACAAATGTTCTATAGCTCTCCAATTTTCACCAAAACTCATCATAATTTGCAATTATATTGTTCCATGAGCCCAAAAATGAATAGCATATGTAAAAATAATGTAAGCTACTATTGTGAGTATACATACCCTTTCAGACTAGTGTTTCAACATAAGTAGAAACTTTACAATTTCCCTTCAAAATAAGCTCAATACATTAAAATGATCACAGGCAGTCTGATTTTCTGTCAATCAATATTGGACTTTTTAACATAATTATGAATAATGTAATTTCCTTTCAATATTATACCAATGTGTTGATATAACAACGGACAACGAAATTCGTTTCGTTAATAGTCTTGTATGCTCTAAATCATTATAGACAATTCCCTTTGATTCAATATTGCATCCTTTGCATAAAGTTAATACTTACAATGTGCTTTTCTCCGAATTTTAGATCAGTGTTTAGATTAGCTTGTCTGAATTGAAAGCCAGAATATCAGCTGATGAGTGTCCTGATCCATGACACTTTAAGAAATATCATCTTTACAAGTCATCATTTATACAAATAATGTGGATGAGAATTTAGGAGTAGGTTTGCTGATGACAACAAAATTAGTAGTATGGTCAACAGTGAAGAAGGTCTTCTAAGATTACAAAGGGATCTTGATCAATCAGGCTAATGGGCTGAAGAGCAGTAGATAAGGGTTTAATTTGGATAAATGTGAGTTATTACATTTTGGTAAAACATAAAATGGCAGGACTTATACAGTTAATGGTAGGGTCCTGGTTAGTAATGTCAAACAGCGAGACCTCAGGGTCCATGAACATAGTTCTTTGAAAGTTGTATCACAGGTAGAGTGGTTAAGAAAGCACTTAGTA